TCTAGTTTAGTATAAAATTTAGTGTATGACTCTTTGGAATTAAAAAAGAAAAAGTATGGGGGTTCAGACAGAAACTGGTAACTAAAACTTTTAGCTTGTATTATTTCTTTTGCATTTGAGGTTCCATTTAAGTGCATCTAAAAATAGATGGCTTGAGTTTTTCTCAGTCTGAACCCTGATATCTGCCTGGGAATTTGTCAGCAATAGTTTTAAGCTATGACACCACAAAATATTATTTGTGAAGACAGTGGCAAATAATGTAGAAATTTGGATATCGGGATTTTTGATGAACCAGTGGTTGGAGAACTATTATTCAGTTTGCAATGTGATAATTTGGTTTTTTGTTTTTTTGAGGCATCCATTTGTGAAGAAAAGTAAAATGATGGTGAGAGGAGGATTGCTGCTTGCTGTAATTAGACATCATTTTGTCACTCTCTTGATGGCTCTTTGGGGGAAGAGTTTTGAGGCCTTTTCTCTGGTGACTCCATCACCATTAGAAGGGCAGGTGAATTGTCTTGCCAGGTGCCCAATGCTCATCTAGTGGGTTGATTTCTTAGCTCACAAAAGAGAAGTCATATCTGGTTGGTGATGCTCCAGGGATTTTTTTCTTTCTTTAAAAATATTTTTTTTTAAATTGATTTCAGAGAGGAAGGGAGAGGGAAAGAGAGAGAATCATTGATTGGCTGCCTTCTGCACACCCTACACTGGGGATCGAGCCCACAACTCAGGCATGTGCCCTGACTGGAAATGGAACCATGACCTCCTGATTCATAGGTCAATGCTCAACCACTGAGCCACGCTATCTGGGCCAGGATTTTTTTCTAGGAATCACTAGGTAATCCTCAGATTATAGTTGATTTTAATGCATACCTAATTTTTAAAATGTTGTTAGTCTAGTAGATCAATAGTATCTAAAATGCTAATAAATAAATATGGAATATAGTGCCCTTAAAATGAGTGGGCATCAGTGGTCTTGGGCATTTTTTGTTTGTTTCTTTTTGTTTTTGTAAGTTGGCTAGAGAGTTTTAATGGTTTGTTGTGTTGTATAATAAAGAATGTGTCTGGCCTCTGTCCCAGATTCCTGTCACAGAGCTTCTAAAACTCTTAGAATTTCCTAAGTGTAGGAGTGTTTTTGTTATTTATGAGCCCCTTGGATCACACCTGACTTTGTGTTTTTTAAAAAATTGATTAGAGAGAGAGAGGGGGGAAGAGGGAGAGAGAAATATCGATTTGTTGTTCGATTTATTTATGCATTCATTGGTCACTTCTCATTGCTCGGACCAGAGATAGGACCCACAACCTTGGCCTCTCAGGATGATGCTCTAACCAACAGAGTTACCTGGTCAAGGTGAGAGGGCTTTTTATTTATACATTCAGCAAATAGTTATTGAACACGTATTTATGGCAGACACTATACTATGCAAATGTAACACGGAAATAAAAGACAGTCTTTTATTGTTTTGTTACCGGAAAGAAAGATTTCACCACACAAGTCCAAGTAGTTTTTGGAGGGCATTTATTATATATATATATTTTATTGATTTTTTACAGAGAGGAAGGGAGAGGGCTAGAGAGTTAGAAACATCGATGAGAGAGAAACATTGATCAGCTGCCTCCTGCACACTCCCTACTGGGGATGTGCCCGCAACCAAGGTACATGCCCTTGATCGGAATCGAACCTGGGACCCTTTAGTCTGCAGGCCAATGCTCTATCCACTGAGCCAAACCGGTCAAGGCTAGAGGGCGTTTATTAAAGCTGGGGACAGTGAAACAAGAAAGGGCCTAGGATAGAAGCAACAGAAAGGGACTAGTTGGGGAAATGAGCCTAGCTGTGCTAGTTTGGCTACTAAGAAGTCAGAGAAGCCCTAGGTCCGTGGTCGGCAAACTGTGGCTCGCGAGCCACATGCGGCTCTTTGGCCCCTTGAGTGTGGCTCTTCCTAAGCCTTAGGAGTACCCTAATTAAGTTAATAACAATGTACCTACCTATATAGTTTAAGTTTAAAAAATTTGGCTCTCAAAAGAAATTTCAATCATTGTACTGTTGATATTTGGCTCTGTTGACTAATGAGTTTGCCGACCACTGCCCTAGCTAGTTTGGCTCATTGGATAGAGCGTCGGCCTGGGGACGCTCCAGGTTCGAATCCAGTCAAGGGCTCATGCCCGGGTTTCGGGCTCGGTTCCCAGTGTGGGGTGTGCAGGAAGGCAACCGATCAATGATTCTCTCTCATCATTGACTAGAGGCCCAGTGTATGACATTCGTGCACTGCGGGGGAGAGGTGTGTGTGTGTGTCCTTCAGCCTGGCCTGCACCCTCTCGCAGTCTGGGATCCCTCGGGGGATGTCCGCCTTTCGGCTTAGGCCCGATCCCTGGCGGGGGGGTGGGTGGGTGGGTGGGGGGATTGGGCCTAAGCCAGGGATCGGGCCTAAGCCAGCAGTCAGACATCCCTCTCACAGTCCAGGACCCCTTGCTCCTTAGTACCTGCCTGCAGCGGAGGCGGGAAAGGCTCCTGTCACCGCTGCTGTGCTCACCAGCCTTGAGCCCAGCTTCCGGCTGAGCGGTGGTTCCCCTGTGGGAGTGCACTGACCATCAGGGGGCAGCTCCTGTGTTGAGTGTCTGCCCGCAGGTGGTCAGTGTGCGTCATAGGGACTGGTTGTTCCGCTGTTCAGTCGATTTGCATATTAGGGTTTATTATATAGGATGTTTCTATCTCCCTTCCTCTCTGAAATCAGTAGTAATAAAAAAAGAGAAGTCAGAGAGAAGGGGACCTTGGAAACGGTCAGGGAGGTAGACCAGGACAAGCTGCCGCTGCCCATTGTTTCCTGGTTGCAAGCCGGGGGGTTCCCTTAGAGTTTAGGAGATGCATGCCTGTGGGGGAGACGAAGGGGAAGGGAAAGTGAGGGTGTGCTGGGGAGGGGGGAGAGCATGCTGCAATATGTATCTTTGAGACTGTTTTCCCCCCACTCAGCATAATGTCTGAGATTCATCCAAGTTATTTTCTGTTGTCAATAGTTGTTATTACTGAGTAGTATTTCATTGTTTGGATGTACCATGTTTTATCCATTCATCTGTTTCCAGGGTTTGGTGACTGAATAGATCTGCTATGGACATTTCATCGTACCTTTGCGTTCCTGGTTGTCCATTCTCTGAAATCTTTAGTCCTGTGATCGTCAAGTCCCCAGGTTTCTGGAGGATGAGTGTTTTTATGTACATCTGGCACACAGTAGGCATTTATAAACACATGAAGCATTAAGCAAATATATATAAAGCTCTGTCAAGTGCCAAGCATTGCAAGTACATTGGTAAGCAAAACACCTAAGGAGGTGTTTTCCTTAGGAGGACCTCACAGTCCTGTAGGGGAGACCAGCATCAACCAAATAACCACCTATGTCACTAGCTTGCACCCATGGCACTGCTGCTTCGAAGGAAAGGGGCTGGGTTTTCTCAGAGCCTGTAAGGAATTGGCCTCATAGCAGGTCAGGTAAGGCTTCCCTGAAGAGGTGACCCCGAGAGGTAAACACCACCTTAATTGCCCAGTTTGAAATAGTTAACTAAGCACGGTGGTGGGGTAAGCATCCTCGGAGGAGACCTTGACGGAGGAGACCTTGACGGGAGGGAGCTTGGCGAGAAAGCCAGTGTGACAGCAGAAACATTTCTAGAGTCGTTGGGAATTGGCAGCAGGAAGATACGTTTGGGGCTGTTGCCGTCATCCAGGCAAGAAACACTGCCCTTCAGACTAGGATGACAGTGGAGATTGAGAAAGGTAGGCTGATTCAAGAAGTAAAGTGCGAGGGCGAGCAGATGGAGTTGTTAGGAAGTGGATATGAGTAATGAGGGAAGGAGGAGTCGGGTGGCGTTCCATGTGAGCGGCCGTGCCGGATGACTTTATAGACACTGTGCCATTCTGACATTTTATGATTTTGGAATCTGACAGCACCCTTATTTATAGATTGAGTGATATCCATATTGAATATGTTGTCTTTAATAATTGTAAGGATATAGTTCTATTTTTTGACATTTGTGGAGTAAACATTGAGCCTGTCACTAAACGGTGTACATCTCTGGAATCCATTTGTTTTCCTCCGTCCACAGCCACACAGCTGGCCTCAGCCACTGCCTTCCTGCACCAGCTGCAGTCAGGATGGTCTTTATAAAACCCGGTCTCCATGACTCCCTTGGCCCCACAGTTGACCCCCTCACAGGGAACATTTCCAAGTGGCTTCAGTTCAGTTCCACCCTCTGTGGGGTGTCTCCTCCCCTCTTTCCAGTGGTCTTGCAGCTGGAGAGGCAGAGGGCCTGCTGGTGGAGAACCGGAAGAACCAGAGGGCAGGTATTCTGGCCTGGAGGGCTTGCCTGCCACTCCCCAGGACTGGGCGGGAGTCTGTTTCCTCTTTTCTTGATTAATAATTCCTCTACCATTAAGCCTTGGTCGCTATTCTCCAGACTTCCCTTTTCTGGTTTTACAGTACATTTAAGGGAATCTTTATCAAGTTCTTTAGTCTTTGTTTCTGCTCTCCTCCCCCAGATGGAGAAAGAAAAGACCTAAGTAACCAGCGCATCCTCCTGAAGATCTCTGCCACTGGTTGGTTCCAGTGCACTTGCTCACCTGTTTGCTCTGTCTGTGCTGTTTTGCCGCGTTGCTCATGTTCCTATCACACTCCTTTTATTTCCTGGAATGACAAGCTCACTCATCTCCCACCCTCCACGCTTAGACCTTCCTTTCTGTAGACCAGGGGCCTTCCTTCCCTCTCTGGACACTGCCCATGTGCTCAGAGAGTGCTCTGCTCAGCGGCGGTGTCGTGTACACCACACTGTTATCATATGGTCATTCTGGGTTATTCCTCCCGCAGCTCCTAAGATCTTTGTGAGCAGGCACCATATCTGAATCCTTATTTCCCTGCTGGATAGCACAGTGCATTTTAGGCGTTGTTTTCTGCTGGAAGAGTTTTTCCTGCTTGTTATGCGAGTTGAATATTTCGTCTGACTCACATGGAGTCTGATGTGCTCTGCTTTGAGTGCTGGCAGTGGTGAAATTAGAGTAGGATGGTCTCTTTGTTGTAGTCTGGATTGATTCTCTGTGTGCCTTGGTGTATCTTGTTCAACTGCAGCGGTTTCTTCTGGCCCTAAAAAAGCTTGTAGGACACGTACTGATTAAAAGTTAAATAACAAAAATAAATAAATAATACAAGTTTATCAGGCAGCATGTTTTTACCCATTTTGTTGACCTTTTTATCCACTCATTCATTCAAGCTAAATGCCTTACGTCCCTTGTTTTTAATTACATTTTCTACTGCAAGTCAACTTATTTTTTACACTTTTGGACTCTTTCACAGTAACAGGGAATTCTTTAGGAATTTAAAAAGTACTTTCGTGCCCGGCCAGTGTCGCTCAGTGGTTGAGTATGACCCATGAACCAGGAGGTCACAGTTTGATTCCCTGTCAGGGCACATGCCCAAGGAGGGGGCATGCAGGAGGCAGCCGATTGATGATTCTCTCTCATCACTGATATTTCTATCTCTCTTGCCCTCTCCTCTCCTCTCTCTGAAATCAATAAAAATATGAACAAAAAATATATAAAATCATTTTGTCTTTTTTGCATGATATATGAAAATAGTGATTTTAAGTTTGCATTTAAAAATTCTAGTTCAGTATATTGTGAAACAAATTAAGTGAATTTCAACACTTTATTTTATTATTTTTTTCTCATCTTTTTGTACGAAATTTTATTTGTATTAACACATTGTTTATTTTAAAGACTCTACATGTAGGCCGTCCAGTTAGCTCAGTTGGTTAGAGCATCTTCCCAGTTCACCAAGGTCACGGGTTAGATCTCAGATCAGGGCACATACAAGAAGCAACCAATGAATGCACAAATAAATAGAACAACAAATTGATGTCTCTCTCTCTTCCCCCTCCCGCCTTCCTCTTCTAGCTTAAAAAAAAAAAAACAGCGCTGGCCGGTATGGTTCCATTGGTTGAGTGTCCATGCACTGAAAGGTTGCCAGTTCAAAGGTTGCAGGCTTGACCCTCAGTAAGAGTGCATACAGGAGGCAACTGATGGATGTTTTACTCTCTTATCAATGTTTTTTTCTTCCTCTCTCTCTAAAAATCAATAAAAAACCTTTAAAACAACAGCAACCAATGAATGCATAAATAAGTGGGAAAATAAATTGATGTTTCTCTCCACCTCTCCCTTTCTCTCTAAAATCAATCAGTAAACAAATAATAAAGGCTGTGTATATATTTTGTTTACTTTGAATTAGTTATATAAAATATGATTTGACAGAATAAAAGTGAAATTTTATCATGTCTGTGGATTCTGTAAAGTTTTCTATAAATAAGATGATATCATTTTGCAATTTGGATTTTCAGCATTTTTAGGTGTTATGTACTAAGAATATGCCTTGCATTATAGTTTTTAATTTCAGTGACTGTTATTTTTCTCTTAGATGTTCAAGTTGTTTTTTTGTTTTTCAAATCTCCTGGTTGTTTTTGGTTGTATCTTATTCTTCCCTATGCTTTTGAGATTTTTATGTTTTTAATTGTTTTAAACACGCTGTTCTGACTTTATAATAGTTCTATATCTTGATGATGTCTGCTGCTTTGTTTGAGGTGTCCTCTGCTAGCACCCATGCTGAATTACTTCAGTGTGTGTTTTGTAATTTTAGGTTGTATACCAATGTGGAGTGGGCTTTAATTATAGAAACCATAAGGCCTGGGATGAGAGCTTCAGCTGATGTACATTTTATTTCTTCTACTACCTGAGTGACAGGCACTTGTGTTTCAAATGATCAAAGGAACCTGTCCCATGCCCATCAAACTAGAATGCAAGCTCCATGAAATCAGGAGGCTTTTTTTTCATTCACTGATGTCTCCCAAATTGTCTGCTACAGTGCATGGCACATAGTACCTGTACTTGAACTGAATTTATCATCTTTCTTTTTGACTAATCTACTGTTTCATTGAAGAAGTAGAGAGGGACTTTTCTGCCAGTAATGACTGGGGCTTTCTTTTGATTCCTTCCTCCCCCATTTGTTCCAGTAACTTGACTTTGACCCCATGCTGAGCAGAAAGATAATTCTAACCCTTTATAATAAACTAGAGGCCTGGTGCATGAATACATGCACCAGTGGGGTCTCTCGGCTTGGCCTGAGGGATTGGACTGAAACCAACTCTCCAACATCCCCCAGGGGGCCCCTGATTGTGAGGGCACAGGCCAGGCTGAGGGACCCTACCGGTGCATGATCCGGGCCAGAGAGACTCAGGAGGTTGGCCAGCCGGAGAGGGGCTGCGGGAGGGCTCCAGGGCATGTCCAGCCTGTCTTGCTCAGTCCTGATCAACCGAACCCTAGCTGCAAGCTAACCTACAGGTCAACTGTCTGCCCCCTGGTGGTCAGTGCACGTCATAGTGACTGGTTGACCAGCCAACTGTCTGCCCCCTGGTGGTCAGTGCACGTCATAGTGACTGGTTGACCAGCCAACTGTCTGCCCCCTGGTGGTCAGTGCACATCATAATGAGTGGCTGAGTGGCCTTAGCCTATCATTAGCATATTATGCTTGATTGGTTGAATGGCTGACCCGTCGAAGGGACACAGTGTATTAGGCTTTTATTATATAGGATAAGCATTTGCCTCCTTCCTGGGTCTGTTTGTCTCAGAGACCTCACATTAGTTCAGTTAGGCTCTCTAAGCTGCCTTCAATTTGTTTTTCATGAATACTCACATTTCTCATTTTTGGAAGTTGAGAAGATTTTTTAAAAAAATAAAGATAATCAGATTAAGCTTTGAAGGTTAAAAAAAAAGAAGCTTATTAAGATGATATAGTTTAGTAGTGAGAATTTAGGTAACCATCAAACAAGGAATGACAAGTGAAAAATAGAAAAATTAGCAAAGATAAAATGTGTGGGTTTTTTGTTGTTTTTTCTTTACACTAACCACGGGCAGGAGAAAATCCACCCATAATTGAGACTGTAACTTAATGGTTAATTTATTTTTCATTTTCTTGTAATACTCATTAAATTATTTGAAAATGAAACTTAAATGCTATTATCTAGCAGGTCTTGGGATTGTTTTTAAAGAATATTAAAGGAAACATTTAACTATTTGATGTAATAACATTACCAATACATTTGGTAGATTTCTTATTCATTTGGTATGATATAAATTAGATGGAACATGGATGTGAGCAGAAATAAAATTGTCAAAAAGTACATTGAAGATATAAAGAGCCTTTTTTTGAAGAGAGATATTATTCTCTATATTGTCTTTTTAATTGAATTTATTGGGGGGATATTGGTTAATAAAATTATATAGGTTTCAGGGGTACAATTCTATAATACATCATCCGTATTCTTTATATTGTCTTTATATGATCATGCTGAACTGTCTGTGGTTGATTATGGAAGCGTGTGAATTGACCCAGTACTTGGTGTTGTGGTACCTAGTTCTTTTGTCAAAGATCTTTGCAAAATGGGAGGATAAATGGGGTCATATGATATTCTGATGACTAAATGTTGTTTCTTCTTTCTTTTGCAGTTCCACCCCCTAGTAGATATGATCGGCGAGTATCAGGTATATGTTCTCTTTCAAAACATACTGCTATGTTTTAAGATAGGGTTATCTTAAATAAAAACAAACTGATCTTTTTAATAAAAAGTTAACAGCATTCAGAACATTACAAAAATTTTCTGATTCTTTCATTCTATTTTATTTTCAGTTCAAAGTATATATGTGTGTATTTTTATATTACTAGATTTAGTTAATTATTATGTCATTACTATTTTTCCATGTTCATAATTGTGGCTTCTAAAAGCGACTTTCACCGGCATTACTATTTCAGGTTTTCTAAATTATGCTGCCATTAATGTCTTGCCTACATTTCCCAGCCACTTACACCACTGTTTCCTCAGTTTTCGTGTGGGCGGGGCCTGCCCTGGCCAGAGACAGCGCTGCACTCGCTTTCCCTGTGTGTTGCTGTCTGGAGAGGCTTTAGGATGGCCTGCAGGGAGACACCGCACAGGCCTCCTCTCCAGCCACTTTCCCGGTGGACGGTGTCCATGAGCCCACTCCTTTAGGCCAGATGGACGATGTAGCTCAGATTGTTTATCTCGCACTCCCTTGATTATTAACAAAATTAGTGTTTTCCAAACATGGGAAGCCCATTTTTATTTTCCCATATAGAACTAATTTGGTAATACTTTAATCTCTTACCTGTTATGGTCTAGATTATTTTTGTAAGTTTGAGTAAATTTCTGTCATGATTTTTAACCTTTTGAAATTATTAATGCAAAGTTTTCCACATTGGTTGTGCTATTTATTTTAGTTTTGCTATTTTCTTATGTACTCAAATTTTTTCTTATGTAACTGGTACCTTGAGCTGCCTGGTATGTAGCAGGCACTCAGCAAATAGTGGTTGAATATATACATCCTCTTCTTTTTTTTTTTCATGATTGCTCCTAAGCTGAGAAGGAACCCCCCATTTTTAAAGAATATCTTTTTATTGATTTCAGAGAGGAAGGGAGAGATAGAAACATCAATGATGAGAGAGAATCACTGATCGGCTGCCTCCTACACCCCCCACACTGGGGATCGAGTCCACAACCTGGGCATGTGCACTGACTGGGAATCCAACCATGACCTCCTGGTTCATAGGTTGACACCCAACCATTGAGCCACACCTGCCAGGTGGGAGGATACCCCCTTTTTCATAGAGCTGATAAATATATTTTCCAAAAGCTTTTCATGTAATTAAAATGTGTGGCTTCTGGATACTTCCAGCATTCCTTTGTTTTATTTTTAGAGAAAGGGCTTTTATTAGCGAGTTAGAGTAACAGTAGAGTTGGTTTGGTTGTATATTGGGATGTTAGTGTCTCAGATTGTCACTCAAGCTGCACATGTCACCTTGTTCTTGGAATGTCACTCACCTTCCACTTACCCTTTCTGTCCTGGAATCCTTTTCTTTGAGAAAAGCTACTCATTTGTCCAGAAAGCCTTTGGTAACATTGTGCACCAACGTCTGTTGAAAGGAGACAGAAGAGTGTGTTCTTAGGTGTAGAGTTATTTACAGAGAGGAAGTGGAGAAGAGATTCAGGTTGGTGCAGACCTGTGAGTGATTATCTCCCATTTCTGTTCATCCTTGCCCTGCATCCCTGTTTTCCAGAAAGATTAGTGATATCCCTTGGCATCTGCAGGACAGATGAGGGAGATGGAGGACAGAGCGACATCTCCTGCAGAGGTCACCACGCTGTGAGCTCATGGATTGCTGCTGAGCTTCCGGTGTCCGCAGTCCTTGACCTGCAGAGACTCAGACAAACACATGTTATCATCCTCCCCCTTACATTTCATAATCTTATTGAACATCTAAGACTTTTTAATGTTACTCAAATGTTAAGTGAAAATAAAGATTCTAAAATGATTATGCAGAAGAGAAAGCAGCCTGTAGCAATAGCTAACATACAGACTGTGTGCTCGGTGCACAGTTTTAAGGTCTTTCTCGATGCCTGCCTTGTATTGTTGAATATAATTCTTACATTGACACTCTAGCTACATGCCATGATTATTCCCCGTGTACAGACAGGAAACTGGAGCAAAGCAGAGATTAGGTCGCTCGCAACAGTCAAGGTGATGCTGTGCCCAAAGGTGGCGTGGGCCCAGGTGCTTCCTCCCCGTCGCTCAGACCCTTTCTCGTCAGGCTTCAGGTGGACCCCTGCTTCTCAGCCTGTCCTCTGAGTGTAGCTTCCTCTGCTCCAGCTGAAGCTTAGCTCACCCTGCAGGCTTCTCCAGTGCGGCGCTGTCCTCGCCCACCTTCCTGGTAACACTCACAGGAGATGGGTCTGTGCTTCTCTGTTGCTCGTGGCTGCTTTCAAACCGTTTGCTTTCCCTCCTTCCTAAAATTCTCGGCTTCAAACCTCTCATTGTTATATTCTACCAGCCACTATCCCTCCTTGTTTTACTAGCAGTCATCTAATAATCCCCAGACTGCCCCTTTTCTTTTTAAAAAAAATATTGTTATTGATTTCAGAGAGGAAGGGAGAGGGGAGGAGAGAGAGAAACATCAGTGATGGGAGAGAATCATGGATTGGCTGTCTCCTGCTCGCCCCACACTGGGGATCGAGCCCGCAACCCGGGCATGTGCCCTGACCAGGAATAGAATAGTGACCTCCTGGCTCATAGGTCGACGCTCAGGCACCGAGCCTCACCGGCCGGGCCCTTTTTATTTCTACATAGACAACCCTTCCACTGCCTCGCCCTTCTGGTCCTTGACCTCCTCTCTCCCAAGGATTTTGTCTTCCACCCTGTACTCCCATGGTCACGCTCTGATACGACAAACTCTTCGTCGGTGATGCCCGTCCTGTCACCTGACCTGCTGCCTTCTCAGCTCCTGCTCCAGCCCTGGCAAGTCATTGATCCGGCCTCCTTTTCACTCGTCCTCACTTCCTCTCGCCTCCCCTTACATTCTTTGATCAGTGAATGTCACCACACCTTGGCACCCAGCCCTGAAGAAACACTGCTTGGAGGGAGGCAGGGACTGCCCTGGGAGCTGGAGAACATGGCTCCTAGTTTGGCCAGTGCCTGAAGGATGCGTCCTATTCGGGACAGTGTCTTAACACTCGCAGGGGGATGAGCTGGACTGGCTGCTCTGGCGGGAGGGGAGGAGGTAAAATAACGGTGGAAGGACAGGTGGGGGTTGGGGCTCCTGATATGATTCAAAGACTTAAGCAAAGACGAGGCGTGTGAGGACGTGTGAGCTGTGTCAGCCTGCAGGGGAGACGCCAGCTCGGGCTGTCTCCACAGTAACGGAGCGTGGAGCAGCGTAGGGTCGAGCGGTTACTGAGTGTCCCCTAGCCCAGCCCCGCTATCATCCACCCTGTGCGTGGTTCTAGTATTGCCATCCCCTCTGTCATTAAAGAGTCCAAGCCGAAACCGGTTTGGCTCAGTGGATAGAGCGTCGGCCTGTGGACTGGAGGGTCCCGGGTTCGATTCCGGTCAGGGGCATGTACCTGGGTTGCGGGCACATCCCCAGTAGGAGATGTGCAGGAGGCAGCTGATCGATGTTTCTCTCTCATTGATGTTTCTAACTCTATCTCTCTCCCTTCCTCTCTGTAAAATATCAATAAAATATATTTTTTAAAAAAAAGAGTCCAAGGATCAGGGACATGGAGAAAAGTGAGCAAGGGGTGGACGGACCCAGTTTCGGGACCCAGTGTGCGTGACCTCACAGGTGAGCTCTCCCCTCCTGAGGCCGCCTTCCCCACAAGCACTGGGGTTGAGAAGCTGTGCCTTCCGAGTCCTAGCAGAGCAGCCTCTACATTGAGTGAACAGTTTATGAATCTCTAAAGGCAGCTTTCTATGTGAACTATCTTGGAGTTTGACATGTTAGTCTGATTCTGTTAATTTAAAAATTTCATCCAAAAAAACCCTGTTCATTTATTAAGTGTGTACTGACGCTTCGAAGCATGTTACTCGGAGATGTGCGTGTTGGGCGTCATGTCACAGATCGGAGGGAGCGTCTGACTGGTGATGACTGGCACAGTCACTCACTCCTGCCTGGTGGGCGCCTGTGCCAGCACCCCGCCTCTAAGGCTCACATATCACAGTGTACGGAGATTCAGGGTGTCTTCTCTGTAGCCTCTCAGTGTTCAGTACTTTTTCCATCCATAGCTGTCTTGGGGTGAAATACTAAATATTGCTTAAAATAACTTAGAAACCAGTGTTATGGATTGTGTGTCTCCCTCAAAATCGTATGTTGAGGCCCAACCTCAGTGTAATTGCATTTAGGGATTTGGCCTTTAAAGAGGTTGATCAAGGTGAAATGAGGCCTTAATGACGAGGCCTTGATCCAATAGGACAGGAGTCCTTGTAAGAACGGGAAGAGCCCTAGCCCGTTTGGGTCAGTGGTTAGAATGTCAGCCCACAGACTGAGGGATCCCGGGTTCAATTCCGATCAACGGCATGTACCAAGGTTTCAGGCTTGATCCCTGGCCCCGGGTTGGGGCGCATGCAGGAGGCAACCAGTCCATGTGTGTCTCTCACATTGATGTTTCTCTCTGTCTCTACTCCTCCCTTCCACTGTCTAAAAAAAAAGGCAATGGAAAAATACCCTCAGGTGAGGATTAACAAAAAAATAAAATAAGAAAGAAAAAGGAAGGAAGGAAGGAAGAAGGTCTTCACCAGGTCTTCAGCGTCTCAAGGCACTCGGTGTAGTTCTTGAGGCTGCAGTAGGGGACCATACAGCCTCCCCCAGGGAACCTGTGCCCTGAGAAAGCTTCCTGCTCTGTGAACCATAAGGACAACAATCACATAGACACTTAGAATGGATTTCCATAGAAAATGAGAACATTAATTTGGCATCAGGACCAGGAAATAGGCTGGGTGTAAACAGAGGAAGAGGGCAAAGGGCAAGGAGTTCAGAAGAAAAGGGAAAAATCAGAACCAGTTTTGAAAAATAAAGTCAATGTTTTTCCACAAATGGAAACATTAATCATTTTATTTATTTTTTTAAAAATATATTTTATTGATTTTTTACAGAGAGGAAGGGAGATAGATAGTTAGAAACATAGATGAGAGAGAAACATTGATCAGCTGCCTCCTGCACACCCCCAACTGGGGATGTGCCCGCAACCAAGGTAGATGCCCTTGACCAGAATCGAACCTGGGACCCTTCAGTCCGCAGGCTGACGCTCTATCCACTGAGCCAAACCGGTTAGGGCAAAACATTAATAATTTTAATGAAAATAACTACTTTTGTCCAAATCATAGTATAATACCCATGTACCCATCCAGCTCCACAATGAAGGGCTTGTAAAAGTCATGAAGGAAGGAGTAGCGATTGGAGTAGATTGAATGAAGGTCAAATGGGAGAGAGTTGCTGAGGAAGACTTTGATGTGTTCATTGGATAAGAGGAGAAAGAGGGAGTCATGGTGAACTCCTAGTTTAGGAAGCGGGGCTGATAATGACCACATTAAGGATACAACCAGGGGGCCTTCGGTTTAACATGGTGTCTGGTCAGCAGCTCTCAGTGCAGCTTCCTCGGTCTCCCACCTAAATACCTGTGCCCAGGCCAAGAGTGGCAACAGGGAGTCTAGGAACTCAGGAAGGTGTTGGCCTTAATCTGTAGGCAGATCTGAGACAGATGCACCCTGACTTCTTGTGTGGAAACCAAGGGCTTGGAGAACAGTAATGAGTCATTATCTACACCCAGGTGTTCACTCTGGCTCAGCTACCCAAAGCCTGAGTCAGCAGGGGCTGGACAGCCCTCTCTGCAGAGCATCACCCGATGCTGTTCTAGGGACCAGAATGGTGGTGTCCTCTTCTTTTCTTTGAATTACAACAAAGACAAGTGCTACAGGCAGCTGGCACAAACACAGGTTACCTACACAGAAAATCAGGATGGTTTTAAATTTATCTAATATACCTAGAGCAGAGTGTGACACACAGGATTTCTTTTGTCTAAAGTCATTATTATTATTTTTTTAATCCTCACCCAAGGGTACGTTTACTGAATTTAGAGAGAGAAACATCGATGGGTTACCTCCCATACGTGCCTCTACCGGAGGTCAAACCCACAACCTAGGTTTGTACCCTCACCCGGGTCGCACCCACAGCTTTTTTGGTCTACTGAACGACGCTCCAACCAACCGAGCCACTCTTATTTTTTAAGTCATTTATGTGAGTTACTTTAATTGATTCTGTTCGTAATCACTCCATATCCAAATGTTCATATTGCGTGTAGTGTACTTTGTGGTTTTCCACCCCTGTTTCATGCCTTACTCGCTTGTCCTCACCACCATAGGGTTTAATAGGTGGGATACAGGCTGGGGCAGACATAGGCTTACAGTTGTGAGGATGCAAAACACAGAGTTTATTCTTGTATTATTATTTATTAATTATTGTATTGTTTTCCATACAAAGAACTGTAAACCTACTTTATCCTACCCTGTATTTTGTCATCTCTCTTCTGTGTGAATCTATCAATCCCTAGAGAGCTGGCTTTTCGAACCTAATAGCATACCTGGCATTAGTAGGTACTCAATACCTTCGTTAATTGAAAGAAGGGATTTAAAAAATCATGACAGCTTTAGCAAGCAGTGAGGAAAAGAAAATTGTATTCACTTCTTATTTTTCTAGTAAAAGCACACATCTGTTTTATTCATTTTTCTCTCTTTTTCTCTCTCCAAATGTAGTTTGCGCTGAGGCCTACAACCCTGATGATGAAGAGGAGGATACAGAACCAAGGGTAAGATGTGCAACAAAGGGTATTAAGTGGATTGTTTCCTTCCCCACTCCCTCCCCTACTTCTCTACACACCACATCTAATCATGCTGGTAATTAAATACAAATTAAAATCTTAACACAATGCCTTTTTAAAATCTAACTGGTTAAAAAATATGAAAAACTAGAGGCCGGGTGCATGGATTCGTGCACTTGGGGGGGGGTCCTTCAGCCCGGTCTGCACCCTCTCGCAGTCTGGGACCCCTCGGGGGATGTCGGTCTGCCGGCTTAGGCTCGATCCCTGGGCCCAATTCCTGCAGGGATCAGACCTAAGCCTGCAGTCAGACATCCCTCTCTCCTGGGCTCTCGCAGTCCAGGACCCCTTACTCCTTATCACCCACCTGCAGCTGTGAGCCCGGCTTCTGGCTGAGCGGCACTCCCCCTGTGGGAGCGCACTGACTACCAGGGGGCAGCTCCTGCGTTGAGCGTCTGCCTCCTGGTGGTCAGTGTGTGTCATAGTGACCTGTCATTCCGCCTTTTGATGGATTTACATATTAGGATTTTATGATATAGGATTATATCTGGAAGGATATATTCCAAATATTAATAGTGGTTATGAGGACTATGACTAACTTTTGGGCACTTGTTTAAAAACTCAGGTTTTTAAATTCTACAGTTACCAAAAACAAATATGAAGCATCACTTTTAAAAGATGTTATAAATAAAAGAAACTTTGATCTTTCAAGTATGCCTTAAAATGAATAGCCTATGAAAGATTCCTTAAGTATTTTAATAATAAAATGCTACCACTGTGTGAGTATAATAGACATGTATACTTTAAAATATTTTTATTCTGGATATTGTAATATTCCTTT